CGTTCCGCGATTGCTCCACCACCCTGTGCCAGACAAGACTTTGAGATCAAGCCTGCTATGATCAATCTGGTGCAGAGGAAGATGTTCCATGGGCTCCCAGCTGAGATACCGATGGATCACATTGAAGCTTTTGAAGAGATCTGTAGCTTCACACGTGCTAATGGTGTACCTCCTGATTACATCAAGTGTATGCTCTTTCTGTTCTCACTAGCAGACAAGGCGTCACGATGGCTCAAGTCGCTCCCTACAGGCTCTCTCACTACATGGGAGCAAGTCCGATCCGCGTTCTTGGGACACTTCTACACCAAGTCTAAAACAGCAACCCTCAGGAACAAGATCTCTTCATTCAAGCAGCATGCGAACGAACCGTTCAACGATGCGTGGGAGCGCTTCAATGACTCTCTCAGGGAGTGCCCACACCATGGTTTTGAGAAGGATCATGTTCTAGGTATATTCTATGATGGTGTTGAGTGGGAGTTCCGCAATGCTCTCAATGCTGCGAGCAGGGGAGACTTCATGACACAAACCACTGAGGGTGCCTACGAGCTGATAGAGAACATGGCTGCTAGTTCTGCGAACAAAAATCCAGAAACAGATCGCTCCAAGAAGGTGAACAGTGTTGATGGTCAGTGGAAAGATGAGCTCACTGCTAAGGTTGATCTGCTTTTGAAGAGCAACGAAAGCCAAGTCATGTACATGGATGAGGCAACACCAGAGGAGATAGCTAAAGGTCTAGCTGTTTCTGAAGGAGGAAAAAGGGGCGAGGATCATCAGGAAGTTCTCTACATCAATGGTCAAGGGTATGTGCAGAACCGGAACTACTACCAGAACCAGCGGAGCAACCCTAACCTTCCCTTCTACCGGAGCAACAATGCAGAAGGTTCTGGAGATCAATTGCAGCGCAACCAGCAGGGTGCTCCGCAGCAGAGAGGTTTCCCTTCGAGTTTCCAAGGCAAGACTTTTGTTTTCAATCAAGCTCAGAACCGATTTCAGAGCCAGAACCAAAGTCAGGGCCATCAAAATCATCAGAGCAACCAGCAGAATGCTCCAGCTAATTCAGGAAGCGAACAGAGTGAGATGAAGGTTTTAGGGAACATGATGCAACAGCTGCTCCAGAGTCAACAGATACAGGCCAAGGCGTTAAACCAGGCTACTTCTGATATCAACACAAAGATGGACAACATGTTCACTGAGCTCAACACGAAATATGACACAGTGAGCAGTCACATGCGCCAGATTGACATTGCTCTAGCTCAGACTGCAGAGAGTGTCAAGAGACAGCAGGGGATGCTCCCTGGAAAAACTGATAGAAATCCAAGGGATTGTTATGCAGTGGAATTGAGAGGTGGTAGACAGCTGAATGATCCAACACCAAGGCGATTTACTGATGTAGAGAAAGCTAAGCAGAAAGAATCAGAGCAATCCGCTGAGGTCGCTCCGACTACTACAGAGCAACCTGCTGGGGTCGCTCCGACTATTCCAGAGCAATCCGCTGGGGTCGCTCCGACTACTCCGGATCAACCTGCTGAGACTGCTCCAGACGAATCTACTGAAACTCCACCAGCTCGAGTCTATGTTCCTAGGGTTCCCTACCCAATCCCACCCAGACATCTGAGGAACCCCATTAGTGAAGAGCAGCTGGCATGTTTTAACAAGATTGTGAGAAAGCTTCCTAAAGAACTTGCATTTGAAGATGCTCTGCAGATTCGCCCATTGCTCAAGTTCTTTAAAAACTGTAGAGAGACTCAAGAAGAGATCAAGGTCTTATATACTAAAGCACTGTCTACACCAGCACTGAAGGTATTGCCTAAGGTTGATGATCCTGGAAAGTTTGTTTTCCCATGTTCCATCGCAGGAACAACCTTTGACGATGCTCTTTGTGACTCTGGTTCTTGTGTTAATCTCATCTCAAAGGCTATTGTAGACGATTTGGGTATTGCTGGTGTTGAGCNAGGACATTCATGGCTACTGTTGGAGCAACCATCGATATGCCTAACAAGAGAGTCTGCTTCTCCAACATCAGCAAGAAAGTTTTCTACAAGGCTGTACCCACCAGATATTCCTCATCACACGCCTCTTGCATCTCAGTGTTTGATGTAGAAAAGCTGCAAGTGATTCCAGAGAGAGAGCATGGTGATAAGGTTGAGAGCATGCTGCTCTCTGATGGAAATCCTAGCACTGATCCTACTAAATTCAG